TTAAGAAATTAAGAAATTAATTTTTTAAGTAAAAAATTAATTAATTCGTTTTTTTGAAAATAGAGAGACTGGTTTATGATTGACTCCTCTTAACCATGCATGATTTCTAAAATCCTTATACGGGGCCCATAAACGAAAGGTGAAAACCAAAACTCAAGCCCATAAAAAAATTCTAAACCCAATTCAAGACCAAGTCCATACATTTCAATCACGGGCAACCAAAGGTTCAGGAATTTACTAGAAAGTTCTCAAGCGTTAAAGCTTTTAAAACCTGAAGTTTCAGAATGGTCCTGGATCATGATCTGACCCGATTGTCCAGAATCATCCAGATTTCTCCTTGTCCTCCGATAAATATAACGTCTCCTGTTTTCCTCAGAGCATCAAGAAATCAAGAAACAAGAAGCAGTCAAGAAATCAGCCTTCGTATTGTCAAGAAACCGGCCTCTTATTCTCAGTTGAAGAAGGAAGAAAAGATGGCAATGATTCCAAGCTTTTTTGGCAACCGACGAGGCAGCGGCATTTTCGATCCGTTCTCTTCTTTTGACATTTGGGATCCATTCAAGGACTTCCCCACATTCCCTTCCCCTTCAAATTCTCTGCTTTCTCGTGAAAATTCAGCATTTGTCAACACCCGTATTGATTGGAAGGAGACCCCAGAAGCTCATGTCTTCAAAGCAGATCTTCCGGGGCTGAAAAAAGAGGAAGTGAAGGTGGAGTTAGAAGATGACAGGGTTCTCCAGATTAGAGGAGAGAGGAACGTGGAGAAGGAAGATAAGAATGATACATGGCATCGTGTGGAGCGTAGCAGTGGCCAGTTCTTGAGGAGGTTCAGGCTTCCTGAGAATGCGAAAATGGATCAGGTCAAGGCTTCTATGGAAAATGGAGTTCTTACTGTCACTGTGCCTAAGGAGGAAGTCAAGAGACCCGATGTCAAGGCTATTGAAATCTCTGGCTGAAGAAAATGACAGTGTCTAATTGCCAATCAGTCTATCTTGGCTAGAGTTTGTGTTTCTGTTGTGCGTCTTGTCTTTTTTCGTGGTTGAAATTTGAAAGCTTTGGTCTCCCTATGTAGTCATGTAATGTAAATAAATTGAAGTTTTTGCATTCAATAATTTCTTCTGTCTTGCTTCTCTACCTGTTTCTCCCTAAGTTATAGCATAATAAAAGACTTGAAAGAGCTGTTGGCGAACCAATTGAAAGGCTGTGTTTTACTTCACTAATGTAATATTGCAGAGGCAGGAATTTATTGCATGCTGTTCTGCAATATTACCTTCACCTTTCCTCCTTTATTTGATGACCTATAGGACCCTTTCATTGGAGGGCTCATGGTTTTACTGATTTGAACCCAAACAGATAGGACTCAAGCGATCCAATTTGGCACATATGTAGACTCATATTGGGTTCACGTACGTTTAAAATTTTGAGATTGCCATTCTTTGGAAAGTAAAGAAAATGATTCAACCAAATATAAAATAGAAGATGTGATTTGTCCAAATATGAAAAAGTAAAGTGATCAGGTAAGATTCATTTTTCTTGTTTGATGGGTAGATAGCGTAATATTCTGAGTGAAATATAAATTAGTCCCTCTAGTTTTTAGAAACAAATTTATTAGATTTTTTTATTTAAAAAATTAATTAGTTAGTCATTATATTTTTAATTTTTTATAAGTTAATACGTTTTATTTTTTTTTCAATTTTATTTTTGTTTTAAGAATAAAAAAAGGAAAAAACTAAGTAAAAAATGGAAGGATTACTGAAAAAAATTACAAGTTTTATAAAATAATATTAAATTAAGTATGATCAAAACTTTTTAAAAAATAAAAAATAAATTTTTGAAATGAAAAATTAATTAATTCGTTTTTTAAAAATATAGGGACTAATTTATAATTTACACCTCTTAACTATGCAAAACTTTTAACCTCCACACTGGCCTATAAACGAAAGGAGAAACCAAAACTCAAACCCATTCCAAAATTCAAACCCAAATTTAAGAAAAGTCCATACATTTCCATCCCTGGCAACGAAAGGTTCAGGAAGTTACTAGAAAGTTCTCAAGTGTTAGGTTTTTTAAAATCTGAAGTCCAGAATGTTCCTGAATCATTACCCGACCCCGATTGTCCAGAATCATCCAGATTTCTCATTAACCTCCTATAAATACACAACCTCGATCTCTTGTATTCCTCGTCGCAACAAGAAACCAAAAGACAAGAAACGGTCAAGAAATTAGGTTCTTATTCTCAGTTGAAGAAGGAAGAAAAAGATGGGCATTTAGGATTTTAATTTTATATTTTTCATTTTTTCAAGGATTTTTTTTAATTTTTTTTCAGAATTTTTTTATAAAAAAATATCATATGTCAATATTCTATGGATATATTGTCAAAAATTGATATAATTATCAAAAAAATTGATCAAAAGAACAAAATTTAAACACAAATTAACAATAAAGGAACATGATTATTGAACAAATTTATAAAAATATATGATTAAGATAAATAAAAAAAATAGAGAAATATCTGGACCTTTAATCTAATAAAAAATATGTAAAAACATGCACAAAAAATGATTAAAAAAATATTTTTTTATAAAATAAAAATAATATTAAGTTAAACATAAATAATAATTTTTGAAATAAAAAGTATTAATTACTTTGTTTTTTGAAACTAAAGGAATTATTTTATAATTTATTCTTATTTCTTTCTAATTGTGTTTAAAAGACAAGACCGTTTGGAATTGAAAGGCACACAATTTTGTTGATTTGACCAAATAGATGAATTGAGCTCGGACGATTCAAATAGAAATGATTATAATTATGACTATTTGGATATAAGTAACTCACCTATCGGTAAATAAATTTTTTTAAAAAATTTTGATCATTAATTTTGTTTTGATTTGTGATTAATTTTTTTTTGTTGATTAATTCCAAGTAGCATTGGATGCGTGTGATAAACAAATAGATTTATAAAACAACTATATACCTTCTGTATTTAGGACATTTAAAATAAGTATTGATGTATTAATTGTTTTATGAGTCTCTTGTATGGTCTGAAATTACTCGACAATTGAAAAAAAATTAATTATAGAATTTCAACTACTCTGGGAGCTGAGCCTCCCTCCCCCATCAATTTCCCGTAGCTAGGTAGCTTAATTGTTAAGAAGGAACATTTGCCATAGTCTAGATTTGGAGACTTGACATCCATAACTATAAAATTTGATTCTCCAGAGTTCTCATCATGCACATTACTCACCACAAATCCTTCATTTCCTCTTGACATCATATCATTTGCATCTCTAATTTTTACATTTGATCAACTCATCTCTCTATTTTAGATTTTGTTTTCCAAAGCAATCCTTGATCTGTTTATCATCACAGGTGATTCGGGCCACTTCATCTTCCTGTCTTACTAATTAAATGGCTAAATTTATACCGCATATTTTAAAATAATAGGATACAAGGTTTGAAATTGCCTTTAATTAGAAGTAAAGGGATTGACTCAACCAAATTTTAAATAGAAGATGTGATTTTTTCAAATATAAAAAAGTACAAAGATAGTGTGATATTCTTTTTTTTTTTTTTTTGATGGAGAAACAGTGTAATTTTTTAAATAAAAAAATTAGTTAGACTCTATATTTTTAATTTTTTATAAATTAATACTTTTCTTTTCTTTTTTATTTTATTTTGATTTTTATTTTAAGAAATAGAAAAAAAAAGAATAAGTAATAAACATAGAAGATTCATTGAGAAAAAAAATATTTTTTAATAAAATAATATTAAATTAAATATTATCAACATTGATTAAAGAATTTAAAAATTAATTTTTGAAATAAAAAAGATTAATTAATTCTTTTTCGAAAATAGAGATTAATTTATGATTTACTCCCTTTAAGTCTTAACCTTGCATGACTTTTAACATCCATACACTGGGCCCATAAAAGGAAGGGGAACCAAACTCAAGCCCATTAAAAAATTCCACGCATTTCAATCACAGGCGACCAAAGGTTTAGGAATTTACTAGAAAGTTCTCAAGTCAGAACGTCCCTGGATCAGTACCCAACCTGGTTGTCAAGAATCATCTAGACTTCTCCTTAACCTCTTATAACTATACGACCTCTTATGAATTTCCCATAGCATCAATAAATCAAGAAACAAAAAGCAGTCGAGAAATTAGCATTCTTGTTCTTAGTTGAAGAAGGAAGAAAAAGATGGCGATGATTCCAAGCTTTTTTGGCAACCGACAAGGCAGCAGCATTTTCGATCCGTTCTCTTCTGTCGGCATTTGGGATCCATTCAAGGACTTCCCCGAATCCCCTTCCCCTTCAAATTCTCTGCTTTCTCGTGAAAATTCAGCATTTGTCAACACCCGTATTGATTGGAAAGAGACCCCAGAAGCTCATGTCTTCAAAGCAGATCTTCCGGGGCTGAAAAAAGAGGAAGTGAAGGTGGAGTTAGAAGATGATAGGGTTCTCCAGATTAGCGGAGAGAGGAACGTGGAGAAGGAAGATAAGAATGATACCTGGCATCGTGTGGAGCGTAGCAGTGGCAAGTTCTTGAGGAGGTTTAGGCTGCCTGAGAATGCAAAAATTGATCAGGTCAAGGCTTCTATGGAAAATGGAGTTCTTATTGTCACCGTGCCTAAGGAGGAAGTCAAGAAACCCGATGTCAAGGCTATTGAAATCTCTGGCTGAAGAAAATGACAGTGCCTAATTGCCAATCAATCTATCTTGGCTAGAGTTTGTGTTTCTGCTGTGCGTCTTGTCTTTTTTCGTGGTTGAAAGCTTTGGTTTCCCTATGTAGTCATGTAATGTAAATAAATTAAAGTTTTTGCATTCAATAATTTCTTCTGTCTTGCTTCTCTACCCGTTTCACCCTAAGTCTTAGCATAATAAAAGAATTGAAAGAGCTGTTGGCGAACCAATTGAAAGGTTGTTTTACTTCACTAATATAATATTGCAGAGGCAGGAATTTATTGCATACTGTTTGGCAATATCACCGGCACCTAACTTTTATTTGAAGATCTCTGGGACCATTTCATTGAAGGGCACATGGTTTTGCCGATTTGAACCCAAACGGATAGGACTCAAAACGATCGATCCAATTTGGCGCATATGTTGACTCACATTAGGCTCATGTCAAAGATGCATAAACAAATAAATTCTTATGACTAATAATTAAAAAAAAAAATTCAAATCAAGAATTTTTTTTCTTTTTGATTAATAATTCTGAATGTTTTATAATTAATTAGTTTTGTATTAATTTTTTTCCCGTGTTATGTTATGATTTAGATAAAATATATAAAATTATTTTAAAAAAATCTTTTTAGTCCGATTGCTTATATTATGATATGAATCTATAAAAATATATGAGTTTAAGAATAAAAAAATATTTATAATTTTTTAATCAAAATTTTATATTTAATTATTTCTTATTTGTGTTTTTTTTATAATTTTTTTTATTAGAAGAGTCACTTATTCTTGTTAATCCATGGATTCTTAACTAAAAAAATTAAATAAAAAGTTTTAAAAAGTTTTAGTATTTCATAATATTATGTCAAAAAATTAAAATAATAATTAATAACAAGTTGTATAGAATTGAATAGATAGTTTTTTTATTTTTATTTAACGTTGACGAGAATATTGATTTTTGGAATAACGTGAATTTAATTTTTATATAGTTATTCACAAAAAAATGAATAATATTAAAATAAAAAAATATATTAATTTGAATCATTGAGTGGTTAAGTCAAAACATAATTTTAATTATTTAATTTAAAATAAATAAATTTTAAAATATTCAAAAATAAATAAATAAATAGTAAATGTTTAGTATTGTGGCAATTGCATAGTTTTCTAAAAAACTAACAATTCTATATATATATATATATATATATATATATATATATATATATATATGTTAAGTGGATTCGAGTTTTCAACATAAAATAAAAAACACTATAAAAAAAGTTAACTTTTAAAGAATATATTTACTAAATTTGAAGTTAATAGATTAAAATAAAAATTATTACAAAATTAATTTCAATTAATTTTGATTATATAAAGGAAAAAAAAACACATGAATTCTTTTTTATTTCTTTTTTTTGCTCCTTCTTAGATAATTTTTTTTATTTATACGTTATACATGACTAGTCCTTGAATATAAGGTTCATGTGTAAAGAAATTATCTTCTTTTTTTCACATTTAACTTTTCAATTATTGATTAACTAATTTGAGTTTTTTTAAAAAAAAAATGAGATTTTTTTTGAAATATATTTTTAATCTAAAAATATATTTCGGATAAATTATATATATTAATCATGCTACTAAAATTTAAAAATTATATAAATCTATTTTTGGGAATAAAAAATAATCATGTTCTAAAAATTTATTTCAAAATCAAAACATATAGAAAAATAAATCAAAACTAACGAGTAAATATAATTTTGAATTAATTGGATGAGAATTTAAAAAAAAATTGACAAATTAAAGTAGTAAATTGTAAATAATAAAAGTAATATAATCTAAAATATACATTTAATCTAAATTATAAAAATATATAATATATATCTCTTTCATGTGAGGTTGTGTGGAAAAAAATAATGATCTATTTTTCATAATTTATTCCAAAAAAATCAATAATAAAAAAAGTCATTGGGAAAAAAAGAGAGAAAAATAGCCAAGCAAGGCCAGCAAGAGTGAGCTTTATAAAAACAGATGATGCATTGTTTTTTCTAGAATGAGGCCTTGTCATACCTATCTATCTCCTTCTTTGTCTTCTGTTGTTTCTCTCTCCTCTTTGTATTGAGAGACTAAATTACAATACAATTAAAGTTTGAAATAAACAAAAATATATAAAAAAAATGAAGTATCAAAGTATAATATTTCAAAAAATATGAAAGTTACCTATTAAATGCTTCAAAACGTGTTAAAAATTATAATAATGCCATGATTAGTGATAAGAATAATGATTTGTGAATATATAAATAGTGATTTGTGAGTATATGAACAGTATTGTGAATAGTAAAAAATCATTTTGTTTTGTTTTGTTTTTTTTTTCATCATTTATAAGATTGTTCAGCATTTGAATGAGTCAAGTTCCATTTTTACTTCAGATATCTAAGAATAGCGTGAGCTGTTAAAAATGCAAAAATGTTGCGTTTACAGCTTAGTTCCGAATGTCAACTACCCCATCAAGTTCCCCCAGCTAGGAAGTTTAATTGTTAGAAAGGCTGAGCCTCCATTTCCTCCATGTAATCCTCCACTTGATCCACTTCCTCCTTTGTAATTGCCATTTAGACAAACTACTTTGACTTACAAATAGACTCCGAAAACCACACGAACCCGTCTAGGAAGTTTAACATTTGCAATAATATCTAGATTTGAAGACTTGGCATCCATAACTACAAATTTTGATTCACTTCATCTTACTCTTTTTCCTAATTAAATGCCTAAATTAACACCACTTATTTTGAAATAGTAGAATATAAGATTTGAGATTGCCTTTCATTGGAAAGTAAAGAGAATGATTCAAAATTTGAAAAAGTAAAGAGATAATGTAATATTCATTTTTCTTGTTCGATGGATAGATAGCGTAACAGTCCTAGTAAATTATAAATTAGTCCCTCTATTTTTAAGAAAAAAACTAATTAGATTTTTTTGGTTTCAAAAATTAATCAGTTAGTCTTTATAGTTTTAATTTTTTATAAATTAATACTTCTTGTTTTTTTTTTTTTCAATTTGATTTTTTTTTAAGAAATAAAAAATGAATAAACTAAGGGGGTGCTTGATAACTTAATTAAATAGCTTAAAAATTAAGTTGTATTGCTTAATATAAAAAATTAAGTTTAGTTAAAATCTACTTAATCGGATAAGTTAAAATTTTTAACTTATCCGATTAAGTCAAACCATCTAAAACATACTCTCTCTCTCTCTCTCTCTCTCTCTCTCTCTCTCTCTATATATATATATATATATATATATATATATATATATATATATATATATATCAAAAATTAATTTGATGAGAATTTTAGTAAGAAAAAAATAATTGAAAAAAATAAATTTTAAACAATAAGAGTAATATAATTAGATATATATGTTCAAACTAAAATCTTAAAAAATATCGTATATATTCTATCATCTTCAAACGAGGCTTATTATATTCGGTACTTAATTTTCGGTAAATACCAAACGACTTGTTATGATCATATTCGGTACTTAACGATTCGGCATTTAAAATTCGGTACTTAATAGATTCGACACTTAATTTTCAATTTTCAATTGCTTCAATTGTACCCCAATTACTCTAATTGTAATTCTCTTTTGATTTAATTATCCCCCTAATACAATATATATATATATATATATATATATATATATATATATATATATATATATATATATATATATATTGTTTTGATGTTTTTTGTATTTTTATATTTTTTATCTCAATAATGAAAATAAACAAAAAATAACAATAACATAAGATAAAATAAAACACAATGAAAACATAATAAAAATAAAATACGATAACAATTTTAGGGGAGGGGGAAATTTGGGTTATATCACTATTGTTGGTGGCGATTTTCAGATTTTTATTTGATTGAGATTTTCAAAAATAAAAAAAAAGTTCAAAATTAAAAAAAAATAGAATAAAAAAATTGGTTTAAACCAAAAACAAAATTTTAAATCAATTTTTTAAAAAAAAATTGAAAGGACAAATTCTAATTTGATTTAGATTCGAATTATGTGTTTGATGGTTCAATTAACTGAAAATTTAATCGAAAAACCAAATACTTAACTTTCAAGTTAATTTCCTTATTGATCACATCGTTTTTTTTTTTTCTATTCATCATAACTTGACATTCAAAGTTTTGAATTTGACCAATCAAAGGAAGTCTCGAATTTATTTAATAAATATATACCTCGGTCCTAACTCCTAATCTTTAACTTTAACTAGATTAAGTAAAAAAATATGAAAGGATTACTGAAAAAAGATTACACGTTTTATAAAATAATATTAAATTAAATATGATCCAAATTTTTTTAAAAATAAAAAATTAATTAATTCGTGTTTTAAAAATAGAGTGACTAATTTATAATTTACACCTCTTAGCCATGCATAACTTTTAACATGCACACTGGGCCCATAAACGAAAGGGGAAACCAAAACGCAAGCCCATTCCAAACCAAAATTTAAGAAAAGTCCGTACATTTGCATCACTGGCAACGAAAGGTTCAGGAAGTTACCAGAAAGTTCTCAAGTGTTAGTTTTTTAAAACCTGAAGTCAGAATGTTCCTGAGTCAGTGCCCGACCCTATTGTCCAGAATCATCCTGATTTCTCATTAAGCTCCTATAAATGAACAACCTCTCTTGTTGTCCTCATTGCATCTAGAAATCAAAAAACAAGGAGCGGTCAAGAAATTAGGATCTTATTCTTAGCTGAAGAAGAAAGAAAAAGATGGCAATAATTCCAAGCTTTTTTGGCAACCGAAGAGGCAGCGGCGTTTTCGATCCGTTCTCTTTCGACGTTTGGGATCCATTCAAGGACTTCCCAGCTTTCAGTTCCCCCTCAAATTCTCTCCTTTCTCGGGAAAATTCAGCTTTTGTTAACACCCGCATTGATTGGAAAGAGACCCCAGAAGCTCACGTCTTCAAAGCAGATCTTCCGGGGATGAAAAAGAGGAAGTGAAGGTGGAGGTAGAAGATGATAGGGTTCTCCAGATTAGTGGAGAGAGGAATGTGGAGAAGGAAGACAAGAATGATAAATGGCATCGTGTGGAGCGAAGTGGTGGGAAGTTTCTGAGGAGGTTTAGGCTGCCTGAGAATGCAAAAATTGATCAGGTCAAGGCTTCTATGGAAAATGGAGTTCTTACTGTCACCGTGCCTAAGGAGGAAGTCAAGAAACCCGATGTAAAGGCTATTGAAATCTCGGGTTGAATGAGATGATACCTTTGTGTTCTGTCAGCAGCTGAAAATTTTTGGTGTCTCTTTTTGTTTGTTTGTTTGTTTGCCTGAATGTGTTTGATATACATGTACTGTTCTGTGATGTAAATGAAAACTTAGTTTGTTAATAAAAAATATCCGAGGCTGTAATCCTCACCATTTTCTTCTGTGAGCCTCTTGATGGAAATGCCATGGACTTGGATAGATGGATTTCTAATTTTCTCTTCTTGGAACATCAACATTCATACACTTGGAACAGCTCAGCAGCAACAACTGATATCCCCAGATGTTTGAAAACGGCTCGCAATGGGATATTCAATACCAGATGGACCATCATTGCGGTCTCGTTGGTTTTTCGCCCACTCTTTCTGGTCTCCTCCTTCATGCGTTCTGACATCTTCGATAGCATCATACTCGCACTTGATCCTGGTTAGCTACCTGGCTATTATAATTTTCGAGATGTGAAGTAGGGGAACGCATGTGGCATAAACTGTTCACTCCCATTTTTATTAGCTAGAAACTGTTGTGAGTAAAATAAATATGGAAGTACTTGTCCAGACGATGACTTTCAGGCTTTTAGTGGTGTCGTGGAGGCTAAAATATTGTCAACGGGACCCAAGCAACCGGATCATACAGTTGTGTGATTGAGAATTTGTCCATGTGTTCTAATAAATGCAAACAAAAATAAAGGTAATATAAGAGGTCTACACTATCCAACCACCCATTTCTAATTTCTTATTAAATATAGATAATTTTAAGTATATGTTTGGTAGAAGGAAAAAAAGGATAAAAAATTATCCATGCAACTTTTCACTACTTTTCTTTCTGTTTAGTATAAAAATTTTAAATGAAAAAAAGAAGAAGGAAAATAACCTTTCATGATATTAAATTTTATTTTCTTGGCATCTGAAAAAATGAAATTCTTTATATTATTATTTACCAAAGATCATAAAATTTATTTCATGTAAAATATTTGCCGGATATTGACCTAAAATTATTACTTCTTAAATGTTATTGACTCCCGTTGAAAATTGGATCTACCACCAGCCAAAAATCTCAATGAAGATGGAGAATCTTTTACCAAGATTTTATATTGAAAATAAAAGATCCATGACGATCGTGAGCTAAATGATTGATTTGTTTTCTTTTTTTAATGGATAAACTCAAAATTTCCATGGTAATGTATTATATTTATTTTTCCTTTTTTAAAAGTTTTTTTTTTTTTTATATATAACTGGATATGAATTGTTAATGAATTCAAAAGGTTCAAATTTTAAAATCAACTCAAGATTAAATGTGATTTAATACTGTCATCGTCTAAAAAATAAAAAAATTCATTTCATTTGATGGGATATATATATATATATATATATATATATATTGCTTTAAGAATTCTCAATCCATTCCTTTCAGAGTAGTCGAACATATAATGACTATTTATTAAAAAAAAAATGGTTATTTTGATTCATTATGAATTGAACAAGTAAGGAAATTTGTGGTTGAGTCACATACTTACTTAAAAACTAGTAACCCTCAATTTAAATACTATATAGTCAAAATCATTTTTGAAGACGTCTCTTGTGGCTCATTTGGGTAGCTTGAAGAACTTCATCCAAGCTCCAGCCATGCATGGAGAGAGTTTATGTAAACTTATATTGTGATATTCGTATCTCTATTTGTCGCATAAGTAAGAAATTTCATTTATCCATGCTCTGAGCAAAGTGATATTATTTACACAGGGAAAATGAATTTTCATTTTATTTTCTTTCTATTTTATTTTTGTTGGTCATGCTTAATAGATAGAACCACGGGCAGTATTCGTGAATGTATTAATTTTTATTTAAAATTTGACGTCTATTAGGATTTATAATTATTTAAGAAAATCAAACCCAAAACTTTGAAGTGATAAATAGGTAAGAATCCAAACTAAAATTTGGGGTCGTGATTTCTTTTTGCATATTAGCCTATGATTCTACATAAAAAAAAAAATTATGATTATTTCATTCCTCACCATTTTCACATTTTGGATCTGGTTCAAGCCTGTGAACCGAAGCATGCAGCATGCCAATATGTATGCAGAATTTTATTTACATTATTTATAATGTCATATGAGGTACGAATTTTTTTCCTAAGTTTTGGCCAACAGAATAATTAGAGTTATTCCGTCATGCATGACATCAATTGAAAGACCAATTCTTCTATAAGTAATTGAAAGAATTTTTTTCTCCTCAAATCTCAATATATATAAAAAAAAACCGTCTTTTATAATAAAAAAATACGGCATCCTTTGGAACACTTAGTGGCTTGATTGATGCATGCGGATGCCAGAGGTTTTATCCAATATTGGTGTACTTAATTTTGTCCATGAATTTCTGGCTTTCTATCTGTTAACTGTACCAAAAAAGTTAATGTTATCCCCGATATTCTCTCTTGTTATCCCACAAGAGCAATA